TACGATACAGTGTCCCTACATATACCCGCTGGTCATGCATGTATCCGAGACAATGGATCCCTTGTACCTATGCGTTGCGGGCATCTGCCCGCTCTAGGGGCGGGGGAGTTCTGACGAACGGCGGGGATACCGCCGGGCGTACTCCTGACCGCAGCAAGAGGCGGGTCCCAGGGACGCAATCGTACCCATTGGGCGGCAGGTTTGCAACCCGTACCCTAGCCTTCACTGGCCAAGGGTGGACAGGCGGCCACAACGCATAGGTACTGCGCCCTGCTACTCACCATTCCACCACTAGTGTACCCTTGCACCCCTCCTTCCGGTCATCGCCTAGCACTTCCCCTTGCCCCGTTCGCCACCGCTACTTCCCCACCACACCCCCCTAGTTAGCTCGAGCCTTGTGCTCACCATGTACAGCCGAACACCCACTTCTTACTCACGTCGATAGTATTTGTAGTTTAAGGCCTACCATGAGGCACGGCCTCGCAGGGCAATAAACGGGATCTAGAAAGAAAGAAAGAAACTTAAGGATCCTGTGCATGCGGCTTATATATCCGTAAGTTCGATAAGCAAACCACTGAACTCATGGATCACAGCTTCTGCCACTTGTAGACATATGCTACGCCCCCATCGCGCACCTCGCCCGTGCTTTACTGTGCAGGTCCAGTGGTTGTCAACCGTTCAAACTTTCGTCCCAATACGAAGGCCAAATTCCGACATATCAGCAAGGAGATCACTGCCACGATGCCGTCTAATCCAGGCCACCTGGGCGACTCCCTTAGAGGCACGATCACAGATTTGTGAGCATTCTATCTTCGGGGTGAGACCCAGTGCGTATCGTTACTCTGCAAGAATGCTGACGTTCATCTATCACATTCACGCACGTCTATAGCCTACGTCGGCCAAATTGCCTCCGAGAGGTGTCCGTTCTGATCGCGGTACCTTCGCGGAGATGGCGAATCTCTTCATCCAGATATTTCCTTTCCGACTCGACATCTCACATCCTCACACGCCTCAAAAGTCCAGGTTGCGGCAAAGCCAACAGCGCCCGGGTTAGGTCGTTGCGAACGTCGCCCGCGCCCAGGAAACTCCCGCGACCCTTCCGCAACCTCTGTTTTCCCCATCTCACAAGGCGGCCCGCGCGAAGGCAGCGATTCGTCTCTGCCGTTTGGGCGCTGACGTTCGCCCCCTGTCGGACCGTCTGGGGTTACTGTGCGGTACGCGCATGACCCTGGTCCACTGGTACTTACTTCTCACCGGCACTCCCCACCTGCAGGATCAATGCCCCTCCCCACTCCCGGTTTGACCCTGAATTTGATGATCTGGATGTGCGTCATGAGATCTGGATTGGAGTCAATCACGAGAAGTCTATCGACGAACCCCTCGGCGCTGCTGCAGTACATATATGATCAAGCACGTTCGGCTTTAGGGTGGCCCTTGGGGCCTGAGGGATCTACAGGGATGTCAAGAACACAGCCGGACCAGGGCCAGGGCATCCCTGTCGACCACCGTCATACCCGCGGACGTCTAACTGCGTAGCAAGTCTGTCGCGGAAGCCTGGTGCTGTGCTCGACCACAGTACGTGTTCGCGGCCTGTCCAATCCATCGCGACGCGTGCGTATCACATTAGTCCGCAAAGCCGACGGGAGCAATGATGCAGACTAGGCCTGGACGCTGTTCAACCCTGAATGGTGGGTTGTGCAACGGCCTGGAGTTGGCGTTGGGCGGTAGCTCGTGAGCCAGAAGCATCGTCTGTCCATCATCGCGTATGATGCATGTTGTGATGAAAAGACTTCCCAGTCTGGTGCCTGCCGTCTGACTGCATCAGTCTGTTGAAGTCCGCATTCGGGCGCCTTCCTGAACCGACAGGAGCATAACTTCGGACAGGAGCCGACATAAGCCATTGCAAGACATTCTAAGTGGTGCGAAAGCATGGGAATAGTCACACGAGTACAGCGTATCACAGGTCCAGTAGAGTGGTCTCATTTGCATATGTTCCGTCTCCAACAACTAACAGGACTAATATCATAGGTCCTTGTATTCCAGTCCGACTCGGGATGCTGCTTGGGAATGGTGTGCGTCTAGGAGAGTCCAAGAACAGTATATGCCGGGTAGTCCCCCATCCCCATGCCCCGCCGTACCTCCGGTTCTCCAGGACTCGAACCGCCCATGGCTCTCCGTCTCCTTTTCCAAATCACATCGACACGTCTACTTCTGCTCTTCCTCCGACCGTGTGGAGAAGCATCTCGCCTTAGCGCTGCGAAGAGGCTTCGTCGGCGCTCATAGAACGCGTACAGAGGGGCGGAGACCGGGGCCTTGCTTCCGATCGGAACCTGAAAGCCAGGTCCGGCGAATATGTAATCCACCGATGGAATGGAAGACCTCCGCAGTATTCATGTGGTACCGCGTGCGTTGCTGGTACGCGAGTGTGGTCGTTGTGGCGGGCGCGCGGTGCAGTGTGGGGGGAATACGTGCGTGGTATCGACGACTAGGGGTATTGTTGGGAAGACAGCGTATGCGAGCGAATTGCTGGGCCACATCGGAGGAGGGATGATAGGTGTTGTTGTTGAGCTGACGCGGATGCGCAATTGTGGCGTTGGTGCAGCGCGTCGCGGACGTTCAGAAGAATACGGGCGCGTGCGTCCCTGCAGTGTCGCGAATGATAGTCTGCGGGTTGGGTCGCGCGGGGCGGGTTTGGGTGGTCTCCGCGTTGGGCCTGCCGTTGGCCACATTGGTCGCGGTGGCTGAGGCACCGAAGAGATCGAAGAAGAACTGCATAGTGCTTCAGAGGAGGAGGGTGTTGTCGAAGGTACGAAAAGCTGAGAGCAAGTTAGGAGTGACGTATGACGATGAGGGGGACGTTGAGGTAGCTTCGCTGAGGGGCAGGTGCTGATGGATGCTCGCGAGCTTTATATGCACTGGGGGACAATGGACAGGACCTGTCAAGGACTGAGGAATGCGGCGCATTGGGATGAACCTTGGCTCGAAAGAAGTCATCATTGCGGTGCGCATCCGGACTGTGAGCGCAGGTATGTGCGGACGCATTCCGGGGGCCCCAAAGCCGATTACGACTCGCTCGGAGGAAGAGACCAGTAAAAGTCTACCGGACAGCCCCACTTACATGAAAGAAGCCGTTCGGCGGCATAAGCGAGCAGTGCCTCTGAGAGGCAAACATGCCGGGATTTGTAGGTGTGTGCGCTACTCATCAACACACGCTGTACCGTAGCACAATGTGATCGCGAACCATCATTCCCCGTCCGCTCACGGCGCTCAGAAGCATCGATATGACCCTCCAATGGGCCGCAGCATCTCAAGCGAGGTCAGGTCCGCCGAGAATTGGACAGATTGCCTAGAATACACGCCGACGTCTACAACGGCTGATCGTTCCCAACGCTTGATCGGAGCGATATGACTGGCAGACCGGACTATTTGTGTCCGCGAGGGTGGTGAGAGTTCGAGCCAAGCCGCTCTGTGCAGCGTCTAGAGCCTCCGGTTTCGACCAAAGATCTACGTTCCCGAATATGGCATTCGCACTAGAGGGATACCCGAGACCATACTCCGATGTCTCTGCACAACTCGGTTACCAGAATTCATTCGAGGCTCATGATCTGGAATGGCGTCGACGTATTTACAGAGATTGTTCGGGTGCGATTATTGACACCATCTGAGGAGCGCTATCATGGCGACATTAGCGACACCTATGTCTACCAACCTGCGTAATGCAGATGTGATGAGGATCCGTCCTCATAAGCCCTTCAGCTGATTCGCACAACTATGAGAACAACGTTCCATTTACACCCCACAACACCATCAGTATCCAGGGTGCCGAGCAGCTCGGGTCCGGTCCATGTCGTAAATCGCCGCGCCCCTGCAGGGCAGCCCGGCGGAATTGCCGTAAGGATGCCCTATACGAGCACAAGAGCAGACGTAGTCGGGGATCCTATAGGGATTTGGCCTACTGGACGGGCTATCGCGGGAAGCCAAGAAGGTACATTGAAGGGGATCGCGGCGCAACCTGCCATACTAGCCGCTAGTGCCAAGTCCCCGCGCGCGGGAGAAGAGGGCAGTGGCTGAAAGGGACCGGAGGCGCGTCATACGCCATTTAGAAGCGGAGTAGCTCCTGAGGAGGTCGGGTACAGTCAGAACGGTGCTTTCAGTGCGTCGGTGCCTGCTCTCAAGAATTGAAGACTGGACCTCCCGCACCGTCTCCGGCAGTAGACAATACCGCGTAGAAGAAGGGCCGCAAGTAAGCCAACCTCCGTTCGGGTGTCTGCCTGATCCTCAAGTTCTGATATCAGGTGAAGCAGTCCACTGCACAGTTATGAAGAAGCTATTTGCAGCCGGCGTCTGAGAAGACTTCGTTGAGCTTCTCTAGCGCTCCCAGCGTTCCTGCGCACATGGGCTTCGTTGTGCCTACGGGGCGGGTGCAGCCCCGGTGACTGGCGAATCGTCGATTAGCATCCATGCCGCAGCAGGCGACCTCCCTGAAGGGATGTCTCCCGCTGCTGCAGCGTGGATGTAGCGTGTACGTGTACAGGTACGTGTAGTGTTGTACTCACCACGACTCGCCTTGGGGGTCCCGTGGACCGCGGATGGAAAGGGGGGAGAGAGGCTGTAGGTGATCACGGTGCGTCCCCGTATCAATTGAGTGCTAATGGACGCGAGTGTCGTCCGCCGTGGCCTGGGCCATCATCGGGGATCCGTGCCGCCACAATAGCCTGAGAAGAGCAGCACCAAGCCAAGGACACGTTAGGTGGGGATCCGGCCATAACGCGTCCTGGAAGCCGGACATGCCCATTCCGTCGACCTTGGCCCCACGTCCCACAAGAGGCACATCGAGCGGTGGCGGCGGACTCGATCTAGCCTTGTAGTGGACGGGGATGAACGTGATATGTCCGATCTAAGTCTACCGCTCGTGTGCCATTAGGCACACTCGTACGGCGACCAATCGACGAGAACAAGGTGCCATGATCTTAACGACGCACCAGCTGGATCACTCGTAACTAGGTACCCGGTCGATTGGGGTCCACGAAACTACACCATGGACTTTGCACGAGCCCATATCCTGATTATAATTCGGCGCGGGATGTGAGATGGGATAGAAGTCGATATCATGTTGAAGATACCTGCCTGTTCATACGATAACGTGTTTGGTCTCGTCTTGGGTCCATCAATGCGCACCACTGTGAGGTTAAGTCACAAGAACCGCTTGGGTGTGTTTCCGGCGCCATGTCCCTCCTCCTTCTCCGCTTCTCCGGTGGCACGTCGCTTCTGGATCTGTCAGCGGGTACGGCTCCAGGCAACAAGGAAAGAAGGGTGGGCGTCATCGGGCATCGCCGCCTTTGGAGGAAATGTACGCCAACGAAGACAGAAATCATAATCAGAAGAACGGAAGGTGGATAGGTGGCCGGGCGTGTTGTTGACGTTCTGACCGATATGCACAATGTATATCCTGATACAAACCGCAGGAGAGGGAGATGCGATCCGGTCGGGGGCAGCATCCCGACATCGGCCAACGTGAAGAAGTGAACATCGACGTGTTCTGCAGCCGGTGATGACCTTTTTGATGGTGGAAGGGTGCAAAACGAGCGTCTATCGACGAAGGATGGCTGCGATATGCTCTGCTGGAAAGGCCCATACACGTTGCGTGATCCGGTCTCTAAACACTGGTCCGATGGGAAACGGGGTCAGTTGTGGACGATATCTGGTACATTCACCGCGGAGTCTCGGAAACTCTATCGTCCATGTGGTGGGGGATCGCGTACCTCTCACCGCCGCAACGGCCAGATGCGTGCGGAGACGAGGGTCAGGCTCATTCATCAAAGGATAGTAGTACACAGGCTGACAAACTCTGCATAGTCAGCTATCTCGACTCCAGTTCTGTCTTGACAGGCGCGTTTTTTCTTAAACAATCTCGACTATGATCTTTCCGCTGCTTTGCCCGTGTCAGCGCGGTGCAGCACGGTGGGACTATGGCTGACCTGTTATTATTCGCCTCCATCTCGCGATGCGCTTCCTGAATCTCGGTCCAAGGATAGACCTGCCAGACCAAAGTCAGCGATGCCCTAGGTATATGCGCATGAATTGAGGTCGGGGCACACCTTGTGGATATACGTGCGGACTTTGCCGTCGCCGGAAGCACCGGTGATGTGATCGAAAGCCTCTTTCTTGAACCTGAAACAGTCTCTGCGTCACGCGACGTGGTGCGGGGGAGAGCATAGTAGTTCTACCTCGCGACTAGATCTGCTTGGTAGCTCTCTGAGCGGGCACGCAGTGTCGATCCCTGGATCCTCAGGCGCTTATAGAGAATGGGGGCGAGATTGAACTTTTCCACTTCGGCGCCTGTAAGTGCGGATGATGTCTTCAGCATTCTAGACCCGCAGAGAACGCTGACACCATATTACCACTGAGGAAGGCCAGCATCGTCATACGCCCATCGTAGGCAAGTGAGTCGATATTCTTGTTCCAGTGGGATTGGCCGACGAAGTCAATGATTATGTCGACGCCCTTGCCCCCCGTAGTCTTCTTCACTTCTGCGGAAAAGTCCTGCTCCTTGTAATTCACAACGTGGGTGGCCCCACTGGGTAGCTGCAATAACATGTCGAGCTTATCCTTGGTAGATGCCGTCGCTGTGACCGTGTTACTGGGGATGTCCGATAGGATGATCAGTGCGGAGAAGCTTGTGGAGCGCGCGAGACTCACGCTCCGTAGAGTCGGGCCAGCTGGATTGCGGCGATGCCCACTCCGGACGCCCCGGCATGGATGAGGACGTCATCGCCCTTCTTGACCTCGGCAAGAACCACCAGTGCCTGGAACGCTGGGGACCACAATAAAACATCCGTGAGCAAACTGCACGAGGGGATACGATGCGCTGAGCCGAGCAGAAGACAGGCCACCCGCAGGTGCAACGCCCGCCGCTTCTATCCATGGCGCATACAACGCCTAGGCGATCACATACCTGTTAGGAACACCTCAGGGATACTGGCGGCTTCAGCCCAAGATAGGTGAGCTGGCTTCCTAATGATATTACCGCGCGGCGCGATAATGTATTCCGCATACGCGCCCTGGGTGGTGTAAGGGTTGTCAGCGCTTCTCTCCGGAAACATATCTTGACTTGGAAGCGTCAAGACGACGATAGACTCGCGGCCATGCGTATGGCGCACAAGCTATCGCACCTCCGACGTTATACTTACGCCTGCCGCAAGCCCTAAGACTTCGTCGCCTGCATACCATTCGGTCACGCCTTCTCCCACTTGCTCGACGTGGCCTGAGAACTCTACTCCGAGAATGGAAGATGCTCCCGGAGGCAGAGGGTAATGACCCTCTCGCTGGAGGATGTCCATGCGGTTTAAACCGAAGAACTTAACCTAAACCCAGGATAATGCACGTCAGCGATAGGGCGCAAGCTGCGTAAAGTGTTCCCAAACCTTGACAAGAACATTCCCCTGTCCTGGAACGGGTTTTTCGGCCTCTCCGAGATAGAGATTCTCGACGTGGCCCTTCCCGTCTTTCACAAGGATCGCGCGCATCGTACGTACGAGAGTAGAGGTTGAAAAAGAGCAAGGATGTGCACAGGGAGCCACGATCGGCCCTGCCGTGCACGCTTACGGCAGAACCGGGTAGCATGAGAGCGGTGACCAAGAATCTCACTGAGCCGAGGTCGACTTAGTTGGCTCAATCGAACCGAGCGGCTTCCGGCATCGCTCCTTCAGCTCAGTTCGGTTCAACTCATTAGGTCTCTGTTGCCATCTACTGGAAGGGCTCGGCTTTGGCAATTGCGACTACTTCGACCTCACGCTGATCTAACTCCATCATCTGCTTCAGTTATCAAGGATGTCTTCCTGCACAGCACGCGCACGGACAGCGAACGGCGAATGTAAGTGACAATCTTATATTGAACCTCATGCAGATGTTTTCCTGTCAGAACTCCCAAGGACGTCCATGTTGACTGGCTTCATCAGATCCATCCATGTTGCGCCGTCGTGCATCGTACAGCCGCCAAGCCTAGTGCCCCTGGGCTCCCGCTCCGACTTCTCGTGCATGATGAAACAAGGTATTGAAACACTCTAACACTGTATCATCGCCGCAAGACGCGCTCGGCTATATCCGCACGCCTCAGTCCATGGCAGGACTGCGGCGTGTTCGTCACGTCTTCTCCGACCACTGGCACAGGCGACACGTCTGCCTCATCACTGCGCCTACTTCGCTGCGCGCCGCGCGACTGATCGTCGTGCCAGATATGACAAGGCAGCCGCGACAGTCATCCAAACCTTGTGAGTTCCTACTACAGTCCCGCCGAGACCCGTCGGCCGCTGACCGGTCTGGTGATGTAGTGAGACAGGCTTGAGACAAACATTGCCTACCTAGTCAAACCTTGTGCTTCCTTAAATCTTCTTCAGCGCTGGTCCGAGCGCTTCATGCCCTTGCAATATTCCCTTTGGGGCTTGTGATGGTCCATCCCCAGTCATGTAGCGGCTAACTAGGTAGCACCATGAATAGGTACAAAACAAGTAAGACACGGCCGCCCGGCAGTATTGTCAGTTCCGCGCGTAGCATACACTCTGAATACCATGAGACACAGTGCGGAGGCGAGCCCTCCCAGTACTCCATCCTCCCGCACTAGAGTGTTTAATGATGCTTTTGCACAGCACACCGCACAATAGGCCCGTCAAAGTCCGACCGGAAGGCACGACTCCGGTGGCCCTGACATTGACTTCTAGATCTCACGCCCGCTCTTCCAAGGAGCGCCAGCCACGAGTAAGCACTGAAGACCTCACGATGCACTCAGCGACGCGCCCGCCGTAGATTGCCGTTCGCGATATTCTGGATGGCTTGGCTGCGTTCGATGCGTGTGGTGGCCAAATGTACCGGTGCGGCACTGTGATGGGTGTCTAAGTAGGACGAGTAGACCCCGGGCTTTTGCCCCCGCTGACCAGCTCCCGCAGGTGAGTCTCGTGTTCGAGGTACAAGGGGGCCCTTCTGCGTCTTTGGTGTCTCAGAATTGGACCCTGTGCGCTCGTCTCCAAGCTTCTGAAGCCTCAAGGCTTCTTATCGCTCATGCTTGGGCGGCTCACGCCGGTGCTTCGACTGACGTTGATCGCGTAGATACCTGTGCGCGACGGGACCGCGATGATGTGCGCTGCGAATGAAATGGCAGTTATAAAGAGGGTAGGGTCCGTTCGACAAACGTCACCCACAGCGAGTACTTGCTCCACCTTCGCTCCTTGAGCCTTGCGCTTGTGTCCCCTTGGTCCTATTCTTCCGTTCTCGTCTTCACAAGACTTTACTCGTATCCTCCTCCAAATTAATCCAAGGGACCTCTCTCTACACCACCTCAACACTCTAACAGCCATCTAATAGTCCTTCTGCACTATGTCGACCATGGCGTTCACTACCCCCGTTTCCTACTCGCAGCCCGCGACGAAGCCCAAGCCGGGCTCTTCCTCGCAAAGCGTCATTCGCACCAGCGCGGGCGCCGTCGTCCCAGTCTTCTTTTGAGCGCATCGCTCCAGCTCCGCCAGCCATCATCGTCCTTCGATGCATCGCACGATAGCTCGTGCGCAAACGTTCTACCATCTCGCACGCGGCCGCGTGCCCCGCAACGCTATCACTGCGACATCTTGCTCACAGCATCGTCGTCGCCGTAATGTGGCTCACCGCCGCGTAACCCCCCTCCCTCCCCCACCGAAGCGACCCTGCAACTCCCGCCATCGCCGCGGGACGCGCGCACAGCGCGTTTTCGAAGCCTCAGGAAGGGATGCTACTGACCCTTGGTGATCACACCTACACTACTACCAATATAGTAACTAGACCCCAACGTCGATCGTATTATTTACTGCTGTATTTATCGTCTCCACGTATATGCCGCTCATGGGTTGTACTCCTGTATTGCTGCACTCACATTCGTTCTTCTGAAGTACTTCATGTTTAGTGTCACACTCATCATTCTCGCTTGCGTAGCTGTACGTCCTTTCAGTCGCTATAATTTGTTCCCATCGCCGGCTAGTGCTTGACATCCTTCGTAATAAAGCGAACCGCGCATGAGCGCACGCGTTTCATTCTCGTACATGCATCCATTCCGATTTCCGTATCTGCTTGGAAGTTCATGATTAATCACCGGCAGAAGATACAACCACATACCACAAGGATCTATAGTACGCGCCCGTACCATCCGCGGGGTGGATGTACTGCGGGGGTCGCACACACAAAAACCACAAGTCAGGCTAGCTCCGAAACACGGCGTATCTTCAGCCCAGGATGGGAATATAGAATCTGCTCTAGAGAACAGACAGAAGCAGAGACAAATGAGCGATGCACGGGATCAAGCACGGAAGCCTCTCACCTGTACCAGGGTGGCGGTACACGAGCTCACCCTACTTGAAAAAGTCGCGCCGCACACTTGCGCGCGGCCCACCGAACAACTCCCAGTCCGGCCAAACACCATCGTCTTCGCGCCCCCATTCCTCGCGCCATTCCAGAGGCAAGATGGAGCGTGATTTGGAATGCCATATGCGTGGAATTATGGTGAATTCATCGACATGTTGGCGGATGGCAGCGAAGTGAGGCGCAAGGGTGGACTCGTCTTCGTTAGGGGTATGCGCGCACCGAAGAGCGACCCGCGCGATACGATGGTTGGCCTGGGCGCGCGAGACGACGGTGTCCCGGAGCGAGTGTAGGTTTTTCCCGCATCCCTGACAGTGAGAGATATAGAGAGCGGAAAGTGAGGGGCAAACAAGGTCCCCGTCAGCCCGCACTCGCAGCGTGTCAGCAAGATCGATCATAGTATCCCCATAATTGAGCACGACGCCAAGCACGCGTATTGTAGGCAGAGCGGAGAGAATAAGGGATAATGTCATGGGTATACGTACAGCCCAGAGGACGGTTATGTGTGCAAAGCGCGAATCGGTCCTGTCAAAGATGTCTACGAGGGTCTTGTACCGGACCAACGATGGCACTGTAGAACGTGCAATGGCATTGAGGCAATAGCCAGCGTGAGCGTTCATAGCTGCAGCAAGCTCAACTCGGAGACCCCCAACGATTCCGTCGTGGATGAAGCTCTCCTGCGGGAAAATGCGCAGGCGGGTGAAGTTTGGCGCTGCAGGTCCCAGGGGTGCAGGCAACGTAGACCATTTCGACTGCTCCTCGAGGATGAAATCGTCCACGCGCACCAGCGCATTCAAGGGTAGCGCAAGGTGAGCAAGGATCCATGCTGAGTTGGGGAAGAGGAGCGCAATCTTCCTCGCGTGCTTGAGCTCGACAAGATCCCAACGCCCATCAGGCGTGCTGGGTCCAGGCATGCAGTCGGAATGCACGCAGACCTCCTCGACCAAAGGACAGCGCCCGATAAGAGAGAGAATGTGCGGGAAGCTCGGGATGCCGACTATATCGTACAAGTTGAGCACGCGGAGATTCGGGAAATGGTCATTTGGTATGATTTTGGCGGTGTAAACCGAGAGCGAGCGCAGGCGCTCGGCCCCCCCTGGTGCGAAGAGGTTGTATCGGAGCTCGGGAAGGCGAGGCCCGCGAGGCCACGACTGTAAGTTGAGTGTACAGGTGAGGAGGTCGGGGGTAACGTGCGCGAGGAATCGCCGTGGGTCGTAGCGGCGCGACCAGAAGGTCGTGTCCATCATGAGAAGGTGCTGGATTCGGGCGGGATACGTCGCGAGGATATTCTCGGCGGCCTCGAGATCCCCCTTGATGATCGCGTGCAGGGGGGCGCCTTTGGAGAGGTGGAGGTGGTACTCTGGCGGCCTCAAGTCGTCGCACCCGCATATGACCCCGCACCAGAGCGAAGTCGTAGCAAGAGTGACAGTGCGCCAGTGGTGACAGACTTCTGTGAGACGGAACGCCTTGCGCCGCGAGGCGTAGTTGAAGACCCCGAAGGCGTTGTAATTGGACATGCCTTCGATCCGCACTGACTCGGTTACGTAGTGGAGGAAGATATTCCCGAGCAATTCCGGGGGTAGAGTGTTGATTTTTGGTAGAGTATTGAGGAGCGTACGAACGCGGGACGACGCATCAGAGAGAACGCTTGAGAGTTGTTGCAGCTGCAATGTAAGAGAAATGCGCGTGTGAGACATCGACAATCTAGGACAAGAGTAAATGAAAAGGCCCTCACGGTTCCGACATAGCTTGGCTGCAAGCTACCGATTCATCAGAGGAATGAGGATTCGAAGATCAATCAGTCCATACCCTGCGTCCGGTATCGCAAGATTCTGGATGCGATTTAAGAGGCTGAGGGCGTCACACAGCTCGTCGATCGCGCTTGCGTCCATGATCCTGATAGTTTACAATACCTAGAGTTTGGATACTCACGTCTCAAACACCTGGTCCTTCACGAACTCCTTGAGTGGAGGAGCTGCAACTAGAGAGGGGAGCGATATTAGAGTTTGAGCGAGAAGATGTCGATTACGGGCGCAGAAGCGCGTACTAAATACAAGTAGCATACTTACAAAGAACATTGTGACGTAGAGTACAAAGGAGCTACAAAGCGCCATTGAGTGTGAATACAACGGAAGATGACCAAGATACGATAAGCCCTGTTTATTATAACAACCGAAACAGGCGCTTGTTAACGTTCTCACGCCGAGCCTCGGAGACAAAGGCAGCGAGTGCTACCATCGAATTTGCTTCGCGTACAACTGTACAAGGCTTTCAAGACGCACATCCTACACAGCTCTTACACGTCCCACCAAAACTTTAAAAACATCGTGTCGTGACGACGACCCCCACGATGGTCTCCAACAGTCCCTCGGGATCCACCTTCACCTCCTCCGTCCAATACTTCACGCGCGCGACGTAGCTGCCCACGGTGTTCGCATCGTCCACGAGCCGCGTCTGGTTCGCGAACGCCGGCACCTCGACCCCGTCTCTGACCCACGTGATCGCGTAGCCCTCTTCAACACCCACGGGGGCGTCGCGCAGGTGCGCGAGCGGGACGAGCGATAGGTCGAGCACGCGTTCCGGCTCGAGGGTGGATTGAGAGCAGGACGGGGTGAGAGAGTCCACGAGAGAGACGCGCCGGAGGAGGGCGTGCCAGAGGCCTTCGACGCAGGCTTTACAGAAGTTGGGCGTCGTGACGATGCGCATGAGGCAGTCTTCGTTCGTCGGGCGGTATGTCGTCTCGTTCTTCTCGGAGAAGCTGTGGGTGGAAGTTCGAGTCGAGTCAGATCGGTTCATGTTGAGCGGGAAGGAGGCAGATGGGTAAACGTAACGAGACACCGATGTCCGATAGAAGTGCTATCTCCGGTGGAGCGGCAGATTGCACTTTGAGGCGGTTGAGTAAGAACGCGAAGGAGTCAGAACGCACGTTGGGTAGAGGCTGTAATGGCCGGGTGTCGTGACAAATCTACAGCCACGAATGCATGTCAGCGCACATCCGCCGGAATCCCGATGTGGGCGGGCGATCGGGAAACGGCAAATACGGAAGGAGTGCTTACTCGTTCTCGTCTCCGAACTCCAGCACCTCCACACTACACAGCTGCGCCTCGCCTTCCCTCTTCTGATTCTTTAGCTCAAACGTAACCTCATGCTCGCCTCCGCTGAGCGTGGAGTTCAGCTTGACGTCGTAGTGCCATCTGTCGACGCCAACGTCCGCACGTGGCGCCCAGTGTAGGTCCTTCCCGTCAAGTGAGACGACAAGGTCCGTGGCATTGGGCAGACCGGAGAGGGAGAAGCGGACGAGGTGCCAGGCGTACTGTCCAGAGGAATTGAACCTGGTCGACCACGGGGCGGAGGTGTTGAGCAGCGTCCAGGCGTAGTCTTGGAGGGGCATCACGGCGCGCTCGACGCGAATGTCGTCTTTGGGCTTCACGGCTTCGGCTGCCCCGTATACGTGTCCATGGTGATGCTCGGCATCGTCATGGACGTGGGCGTGGGCGTCGGGAGCGGGCGAAAGCCAGTGCGTCCAGGGTATCCCGGAGGTAGTTGTGTTGTGTGCGGCGTTTACGCCGAAATAGGCGAAGCCGCCGTCGTACTCTTCTCCGACGTCGATGACGGAGTGGCCTAGCTCGTGCCTGCCGAGTATCGATTTCCTGTGGGATGGTGCGATGACACTGAATTGTGTACGTACCGCAGGACTAGTGGACCGTTGGCGAGAGATGGTGTGATTACCCTGTTTGGTTGGTACCGCGATAGCAATGTTCGTTCATGCCCTCTACGATCATCATTTCGGAAATGGAACTGAAGACTCACGTAAATTCACCGCCGAGCCCTGAACGTGGAGATCGCAGTGAACGCCGCCTCGTAATGTCATGTGGAGAATGCGCTACGTACCTCCGTAAAGAGGATCGTTGCCTTACGTGCAACATAGTCAGCGTTCGGCGAGTGGAACGACGCGAAGTTGAGTAGACGCACCCATGAGAATAGGGTAGTCGCATTGTGTCCCAAGAGCATCGCAAGCCTCACGCGCAACTTCAGGTTTGCTATAGTACACTCCACGAAGTTCGGTGCCAGGGCGGTATAGTCCGAATACCGTGCTATCGTCGTTCGGAGTAGGGGTCAGCAGAGGCAAGACCTATAGAAAAGTGACAGACTTGCTCCTTAGGCTCGCCGCCGACGCCAACGCCGCTCTGCGCATTATATGTAAGGGAAGTGTTGCACATGGTCAGAAACGTCATTACCTCCTTGCTCGGAACGAAGGCGGCCCAGAAGTTGAGGAGCGGCTTGACGGTGTAAAAGGTCTGGTTGCCCGAGATGTCCTCAGCTAGGCGGAAGGCGTCATCGAGGAACTTGTCCTTCTCCTCCGCCGTGTCTACGGGATGCGACATCATATGGAAGATCCCACACTACATAACAGCATGCAACGATGAGACTCACAGCCGTCTGCAAAGAAGACAAGGTCCACACGGTTGCTCGAGTCCCCGGACGTGATGAGCGGGAAGACTTCGAGTTGTGGAGAAGTACTTTGCTGGGGACGGAGCACGGCCTGGCTTGCATCATAGGGAGTGGCCGTAGAGCGGATGAGGGTATGGAAGTCCCAAGTTTCTCTCGGCCCACACAGCGATTCTGCACGCTCCCAGACGTCCTCCTCTGTCTCAGCTATGAACTGGGTTCTCTCTTCGCCCGTTTCCAAAACCTTGCTCTTCAAGTATCCTGACTCAGGAAGACCTCTGAAGTGCTGAGTATCGTGCAGCGCGAGGTGCGAGCATTTCAGAGTGTCTGAGTCGCGTTGAACGATAAGCTCATACGGTCGTTCGGTGACGTCTGCCGCAGAAGCAGAAGCAGCATAGAGACACAGCCCGAGCAAGATGCCAAACAGAACGCGCTTCATCTTGATGATGATGGCAGTATGGAGCAGAGATCCTGAGTATCAGGGGCGCATGTGGTGACCGTGGTCGTTGCAGTCCTTGTGAAGCAGGCTGCAGCCGTGGACATCGTCGCGGGCGGTGAGAACGACGCGGTTCACGCGACACAGCAAGATTGGCCGGGCCGGAAAGCCGTGGGTATCAGTAAACATTGTACAACTTCAAGTTGACCTTGGACGACGGCAGACGTTCCGTTCCACTTAATCTCCACGATACTATGGTCAGGCTCACTATGAGGAGGACTTCTGCAAAGCTCTTGAATGCATATCATACATGCAGACATGTACCTTGTTAGATTCCATCGGAGTCAGTTGGCTGCAAATCAACAGGATTACACTCCCGGGACCCGTTACATACCAAGGTACCAAACTATCGAGACAGAGTGTGCTTTCCGGAAAAAGCGGACTCGTTCCAAAACTTTTGCTGATCCACACACATGCCCACAGAGATCGTGCCAGCGACCTTTCCGTTGGCAGAACCGGCGCAGCGGAGCCTACTATGGCCCTCAATCCTGTCTTGCACCATAGAGAATGTAGGAAAGAGCTTACTTGGAGGTTTCGGCAACCGACCCGTTTCTGTCTGCCAACATTCGACGCTGGTTCTCGTGTGGCACTGACGGAAAGACAGGCTGGTTTATGCCTATACCAGTCGTGATTGTTGTCGCCACAGTCACATTGCATGTTGTACGACAGACGGTCATAAATCGCGTCCATAAGCTAGCTAGAAACGCTTCATCTGGCGAAGCAGTAGTCAAGGAAGAACTTGGATATCACCGGTGTATGTGCGGTCGCAGTCCTGAAGAAGTTGTATGAGGCTCGAGCCGCGACTCGAAGGGTAGCGGCGAGGCGGGCCGGCCAGCCGTGGGTAGCAGAATCACGGAGATGGAGATGATGTCATGGCCTGGAGTGGGGACGCCCTGATATTCAATTGCGATGCGCGCGAGGACTACATAGTCCGCGACCATTTCCTCATCGATCCCCAACGCATCTTGAACACCAACCACCACCATGTCTGCCAACACCATCCACGTACGTCTCGACTATCTGATCTATTTGCGCGCACGGCTCCAACGTCGCGCGAGGGGAGCGACGCGTGCTGATCGAGTTATGCTCTGGACATACAGGTTTCCGGTATCTCTCAGACGACCACCGAGTCGCATCTCAGGGACTTCTTCACGTCAGTGGTGCCCTCATTCGACCCTTCTGACATCCGCGTGAGCCATTGAACGTAAGCTCACCCCTCACCCAACGCATCACACAGATTCTGCGGGAAGATCAACGGCATCGAGTACGACCAAGAGAAACATTCGGCCAAGATCCACTTCGAGAAGCCATCCGCGGCCAAGACCGCGCTCATGCTCAACGGCGGCACCCTCGACGGCGCCCACCTCACCATCATCTCCGACGTCCAGGACGCCGCCGCCGCCGCCAAAGAGGCCGAAACTCACCACACCGGCGAGCACATCGACCAGGCCGACAAGCCGCGCGCGGGCAGTGAGTTCATATCTGTCTGCTAATCGAGACACAGCCGCTGAAGGCGCGCATTGCATTGCACACAGTTGCCGCGGAATACCTCGCGAAGGGTTACACGCTCTCGGACCAGATACTCCAGCGCGCGATCGAGCTCGACCAGCAACACGGCATCTCGAATCGTTTCCTGTCGTACATCCAGAGCCTTGACACGACTCTTGGTACGTATCTCGACCATCCTATCTCGTTCGCTTCTCTAAAGTGAACATGTTCTGGTTACGCGCAGGCTCGAAGGTACTAGGGCCCGAGAAGACGCTGTCCGGTAAGGCGCACGAGACCATCCAAACCGCGGCGCAGCAAGCGAAGGCCGTCGACGAGCAGCGCGGGATCTCCAGGACCGCAACCGACGTGAGTATCTTGGAATCTCTCCCTGAAACGTAGCTGTGGCAGCTGAATGGACCTTGTCATTCACGCGCGCAGTACTACGCGAAGGCGCTTTCGTCGCCGTTCGGACAGAAGGTCAAGGCGTTCTACACGTCGACGTCCAAACAGGTGCTCGACATCCACGAGGAGGCGCGCCGCATTCACGAATCGCACAAGGCCTCCACGCACGGCGCGACGCCTTCCTCCACCGGCGTCGGCACGACCAGCCCGCCCGTCGACCCGAGCGTCCAGTCGGTGAGCACCGCTGGGGCCGACGCGTCGACGACTGGGGGAGCGCCTAAGACTGCGGAGGCACCGACCGTTGTTTGAGAAGCCTGAGGGATTTGCAAAGGAATATGGGACGTACTGTAGGATTTACGCTGTATCGTATCGGGCTTGTCGATTCCCTTGGTGGATGTAATACATCGTGCTTCCTGTCATTCATCGTTGGTTTGGTGTGCGCCGCAGGCTGCTCCTGACACTGCACCGCACGGCGAGCATGAGCTCGTCGCTACGTCTACAGTACATAGCTCGTCTGCCACGATCGATCGATCGCGACATGTGAAACTTGCCAAGTCCTGGCCGTGTTTGTCGCTGACTCGCAGGGGAGCCACGCCGCACTGAGCCATTACAACCATCATTTAATGCATGCATTCTGGGTTCTTGTCGTGAGAGACGTGGCCGCTCCGGCATGCGAGATGAACGGACACTATCTCGCGACGCACGCCGTCCGCTCGCCCAGGGCAATCGAGAGGCACGTCAAAGGAGCTATGCTGCGACGTATGGAGTGTGCGTATCGATGTGTGCATTCTGGGCAATAAGTGGGTTATACGTATAGGGTACCGGGGTATTAACGAGCGATATCTGTCTGGTGGGACGCAGCGGGACGGAGAGGGTGAGTGTTGAACAGTGAACTGAGAACAGCAAACGGCCGCAGGGAAAGGATGTCTAATAAGTGATATAATGGCGATGAAGGGGCCAGGACAGTCGTACAAATACCAGAGAAATAGGAGAGCAGTCGTGAGAGGCCAGAACGTGGGAGGGGGAGGTGGTCGAGGGCCCGATGGGTGCATGCGATCTGGCGAAGCCCGATGGTGACGATGGTGGATGCGGAGGTCGGCGCGGGAGGGCTCTGCGGGCTGCGAGACCGAAGTGAGCAGAGCCCGTGCTGACTTGACGACGGGATAAACTATCGGGAGACGCAGCAGGGCTAACCTGAGAGAAGGAGATGAATTGCGATGGCAGTAGGGTACGGGCGGTGATGTAAATGTTGGGGGATGACGGTTGAGAAAGAGGGAAGGGACATCCTGATAGTGACAAAAATGCGGGTGAAAAGCGGCAAGCATAATACGTACATGGTAATGGCGAAGTGGCTGGGGTGGACGTCAGAGGATGAACGCGCGGAATGCAATGCAAAGCACGGAACACGAGGATGAGGGATGGGGACGGAAATGTAAGGACACAGACACACGTCCGCACAGCCCGAGTGAGAGACAAGAGATCAATGAGAGTCACAGCGTTCAACCCCGACAACAAGTCGACAGGTTATCATAAGGACGCACGTGAGAAGACCACAGGGACTAATAAGCGAACGAGCGGAGAGGCAACACGCGGCATAACCAAGATATGTCACATAATGACGCATTTGCAGCATCCCCCGCTGTCCTCCTCGTCCGCCGTCAGTGGCTGTTGCTGTGGCTGCTCCTTGCCACCCAGCGGCGACATTTGATGCGATGCTTCCATCTGCATGTGTAGAGGTGGTAGCAGCTCCTGCCCACCTGTCTGATAGTGCGCGAAGGGCGGTGGAGACTCAATACGTGACCGGTCGAATGAGCGGGGAGTAGTGGGTACGGTGGGCGTCGTGGGCATGAGGTGCTCCTCTGGTTCAGGTACAGAGACGTCTTCCGTAGGAGGGAGCTGAGTCTTGGGCTGGCCAAATTCGTCCATGGGGATTTGTTCCGGGCGGTTGCTCCATCGCCTGCGATATTTCGTGGGGTCGTAGCCGAATGTCCCGGGTGCCTTGGGTACGAAACGAAGGGTGAGAAGGTGCGGAAGCGAACAACGAAGAGGTACGACTCACCGGCTCGATGACCACAGGTTCGGGCTCCTTGGGCTTGGGCGTACCGTCTGCCGTCTCGTACTGGTCTTGCAGGCCTTTCTTTTTCGCGACGGCAGGAAGCACGACCTAAGTCACCGGTGGCATAAGAAACACCGCGCGCAGAGACTCAACGGTACTCACGTCATCCCAATTACCGTTGGCCGGTCGAGGCTGCGTCCATGTAGGGATCGCGTCCTCGCCTCCGTCGGGCAACGGATACTGCCCGATGGACCGGCGGTTCTCCTCGTTCCTTGCGACTGAGCGTTTCTGCATGGACGAAGGAGGTGCCTTTGCTTTCTGCTTCTTCGCCGAGGACTGCGGGGTCGCATTTGCCGGACTCTTCGCTCGCCGCTTAGCGGTGGGCGTCGAGGGTGTCGAAGGACTTGATGCTGCAGGCGACAAGCCTTGAGTCTTCAGCGGTTGAGTAGCCGAACGCGGCACTGAAGGGGAAGGCGCGGGTGATGAGGGGCTAGCCAACCCAGACTCGGACGTGCTACGGGTTGGCTTGGCAGGTGTTGGGGTCGTAGTTCGGGAGCGCGACGTGGGCTGAGGTATTCGACTCCGCGACGTGTTTTGCGTGTGCCGACTGGTGGGGGTATCGCTACGGATATCAAGGGAAGGTGAGGATATCGAGCCGTTCGGGTGGGGCTGAACAGCCTGGGCATAATAGTCATCCAAATGGTCTTCGTACCCGTCGTCGTCGAGGTCCGTCAAAGGCCTCTCATCCATTACCGTGTCCCCCTCCGCTACCCCCTCGTCGTCAATGTAGATACTCTCTCGCGCCCCCACGCTGCCCGACCGCTGTCTCATCCGTATCCGTCCATTGGGCATATCCCTTCCTCGCGAGTTTGACCGAGAGCGCGAGGATAACCCGCTGTGCGATTTGCCGGATGGGTTCCGTAGCGAATGCCCGTAGTTCGCTATATCGAGCATCTCCTGGCGCCGAGCGACGCGCAGCTCACCCACACCGCCGTTGCGCGCGACGTCGCCGCGATACCAATGTTCGAACGGGTGCTCCTCCGAATCTGACGAAACCCGTTCCGGGGCGTAGTCGAGCTGGCTGTGCGAAGAAGAAAGGGACTGGGAGGTGAAGGGCGCTTGTTCTTGAAAGATGTCGGATATCTTCCGACGGGGAACCTGAATGGTGGAACGGGAGGTCTGGGACTGTGCTGGGGACTGGGCCTGCCCGTGCATCTGCTCCTCAACTGGCCATAGGTGTGACTCCGATGCTTCTCCACTATGCTTCGAGTAGCCGTTCGCGCGTCCTGTAGAGCTTGAACCGTTGTATACGGAATGGGCCTGGCTCGAGGTGCTTCCGGTTCGTGTCCGCGATACAGGAATGCGCGTGCCCTTGGGAGCGTTGAGGGGCGAGATCGGGCGAGTCTCCGAAGGGGGGGACGAATGCTCTGTGGAGTGAGGGGGCTCGACAGGGAATGGTTGCGAAAGGGTACGCGCACGCGAATACTGGGCCGGACGGGCAGCTGCGTGCGTTCCGGAGGACGAATCCGCAGTCCGTGAAGACTGCAGACTGGGGCGGGGGATTGCACTCGGCTTGCTGCCGTTTGAGTACGAATACGAGTGCGAGGAGGTAGACGTGCCAGGTCGTTGTGCGGCATAGTACTGGCCCGCCTGCTCTTCGAGGGATGTGATCGACGCGGCGGAAATGCGCTTGGCGAGGGCGTTGCTCTCATCCTTTAGACCTGCGGGGCGGATGTCAGAGTGACTCCAACCTTACAAGCGGTGACAGGGCTTTACGTTTGCGGAGTGCAGGGACAATCACTTCATCCCAGGCGGGTTCTCGAGGCAGAGCTGAGTGAGCAGTAGCAGTCAAGGCCATGGGGCCAGCAGAGTGAAGAAAGGGAGAAGCCAAACAGCGTGGAGAGGACTGCCTTCAAGAACGGAGAAGTAAGGAGGGAAACGAAGAGCAGCGGAGGGCGGGCGTTGGTTGTGGTCGCGGGGAAAGGAAGCGTCGATGCAGACGTCGAGCAACGCCCTGTGGCGGCTGGCACGGATTACCCGCCAATAACAGCCTGCTAACTATCTTCGTTCCCACAGCCTTATCCGTCCTTCTAATCACACTATAACGCACGACTACACTCCATTCCTTACTCTGTTAATCTGCGTGCTTCCGCCTGGGTACAATCCGCTCTGGGCACCTCCCGCTCTGTTGCCTCGGCATCCTACGCCTTCGCGGCGTTTGCAGTTCGGAGTGCCAACACGGACCGCGAACGTCGACATTGATGCCGGCATAACCTAATCTGTACGCGTATGTTCACAGCACAAATACAATATTAAGCCGACTCTAGATAGCTGTAAGTGTAAGGACGGTGCGCGTGCGTTAGATGGATGCAGTGAATGATGGATGCGAGTGATGTACGTGCGAGCGAGACCGACTGCCAGTGCAGATTGCAGATGAGATATGGGACGGTGGTGGGAGAAAACCCGAAAGGAAGGTGACTGCATGATATGTAACATGATAGTACTAAGACCGCGAAAGCAAACGAACGTGAATAGCTATCAGAGACCGAGAGACATGGAAGCGGACCCAAAGAGAGTATAATTACACCGACGCAGCGTGCTAACGCCGATCCTGGCCCTGCCAGAGTATGTCGTGCAGCTGCTGCCTCGAAGACCTACCGTGGCCATTCAGTCCGGCGCCGCTGCGCGTCGACGTTCGCAAGTGACTGCTGCCGTTCGTACTTGCGCCCACGCCACCGTGGCTGGTAGCAGGCGTCCCCGCCAGGGACTCCGAAGCATGTCGCCGCATCCTCTTCGGCGCAATCGCCTTAGCCGACTTAGGCGTATCGACGCCCTTTGACAGCCGCGCCGAGGGCTTGAGCGCCGGAGCTAGAGTGGGAACGATCTCCCTCGCAAGCTCCCGAACAAGGACGGCGACGTCCTCCTTGCTTAGCTTCGCCACAATGTCGTAGATGCCGTAACGTTCGACTAGAACAGCGCGATTGGGATGCACGTCGCACACCGTCCGAAGTATACGGAGGAGGTTGAGCCGCACTACGGCCTTGCTCGACCCTAGCTTGTCGATGAGCCGCTTGAAGAATTGCGACTTGGCGACGCCGATGGCGATGTTGGTGGAGAGGCGGAAGATCTTGAGGAGAGGGTCGAGAAGGTTCTCGAAAGAGTTGGCCTTCGCCTGTACGAAGCAGCGGAGCAGCGCATCTAACGACTCCGGCTTCATGAGTTCATCTTCTATCCTGGCCGTCTCATCTTGCAACCTGGCAACTGCATCAGCTCCAACATCCCCGAGCGCAACAAGAACTTTCGTACCAGGACAGGATGGCTTCGAGCGCACTGACTTGGAAGTATGGGTCTTCGAGAAGTCGAAGGTAGAGCGACAATCCGTCGTGCTGCCACAGCAATATCCTGCAGCTCTTCCCTGCACTGGCAAGATCACACAGGATGGGAAGCGCGAACTGCTTGAGCGGCGAGCTCGACTCGATGACGCGCTTGAGGCTCGGGATGATGCCCGCTTGTGCGGCCTCCTCCTGTCTTGATTTGTTGAGGCGACAGAGGTTGTAACACGTCTGGAAGATATGGTTCGCCATTTCCTGTCGCGAAACAAGGTTCAGTCTGTCGCTGCGGCCGTAAGAGGCGAGCGACTAACCGTGCCAAGCGGACCCGAGCTCCGCTCATCAAGAATCTTGACCAGGATTTCGATGGCGTTCGCGTTCTGGAGGACCTCAAGAATGGTCGTGTTCGTGGACATGGACAAATGCTTGACCGCCTTGAGCATCTGGACGAGATACTCGGGCTCCAGCAGCTCGCATGCCCTCAGAAGCCCTAGAAAGGCGATGTGTGACCCTTACCGCCACCGTTCGCTATGATGAGGAATGGGATGAAACTCACGCCGCACGATCTTGCGCGTGCCGAGGGCATTCCGCACATGGATATCAGACTGGGAGACCTGGCAGAACACAAGGATGATTTGCAGAATCTTCCGGTTCATGTCGTCGGCGATCTCTCCCCGGCCCGCCATCACGTTGAGCAGTGCCGAAGACAGTGGATCGAGCAGACCCTCTCGGATGAACATCCGACAGAAGTCGTTCTTCGTAGTCGGGCTCTGGAGCTCGAAGACGCTGCAGATGCCGTTGAGCGCGTGGATGACGAGTTCGGACTGCTCTGTGTAGTCTTCGTCCAATAGATCGACGAGGACCTTCAAGCCACGACAACTGATACAGACGCACATCAAAATCTGGCCGGCCAAGTGAATGCTGTTGGGCAGATGGAAATGATACATACGAGATGAACATCTGCAGCGTCAGCACGGAAGAGTGGCACAGCAGCCGGATAAAGTGCGACGCTTCGAGGCGGCACTCCGACGGATACTTCTTGGAGGTGAAGCCCATTATGACCGGTATCCCTCTATCACGAGAAATGAGCAACTGTCAGCACCGGATGGCACACGAGCGTACCCAATGAGGCAGAAGCTCTCCAAGAAGCCCATGTCGGTGGTGACAAGCTGCATCACGTCTCAGTCGCCCCGAGCTGATATAGGAAGCGACGCCGACTCACCGCGTTCACGATCTGCAGCAACTTCAGCGTCACGTCCCGTCCCGTCCTCGACTCGAGCACCTCCAGGATAGCGAGCATCCCGTGCGCGGACACCAGCTGCGACTGCATCTCCGGGGTGTCGTTGATGATGCTCAGCTGCCGTGACGAACCATCAGCCCAATCGCCCCCAAACAGAAAGCCTCATACGACCAAACAAACGGGCAGAACGCACCAGCTGGTCGCACGCGTCCCTCAGCTGGAAGTCCGGCGCGGACGGCGTGAGCTCGTCGATGAGCTGTGTGACCTGGTTGCACAGCCGCGCGTACTTGTCGCGCTGCAGATTCGCCTCGAGGTCCTCCTCCGCGTACCCCTCGTCGATCTCCGCGAACGGGTCGTCCTCCGCGTCGTCCTCGTCCCCGAGCCACGACTTGTTCGACAGGCGCGTGTTCAGCTGCAGCGTCTGCATCGGCTGCGCCGAGGGCCCGTTCGCCTTCCCGAACACGTCCTCGTAGTCCTCGTCGTCGTCGTCCGCGTACTTGTCCAGGTCGCTCTGCAGGCGCTTCGCCTGCTCGCGCCCGAAGGAGTCGTTGCCCACGAACGACGATGAGCGGGAATGGCCCCGCGCGGACGACGGTCCGCTGTTGGGTCCTGTGGAGATGATGCTCAGCGACGGACGCGATCGCCGGTGGGTGAGACCGGGAAGGGGAGCAGTCATAGGCCCGGGGGAGGGCGGTTGCAGGCCTATCGTCTTGATGTCGTTGGGGTGGAAGAGACCGCGCCTCACCGAATTCTTCATCTGTGCGGCACACGTGAGCATGAAGTCTTTCCGAGTGCTATCTGGCGGACAGACCTTGAAATCGGCCACCTTCTCTTCCAGCTTCGCCTCGTCCTCCTCGAACAACAGGTCCGAGTAATCCTCCGCGATAGGAGCAATCTGGGGCTCGGGCGCCTTCGCCACCGGCAGCGGCACCGTCCCGAGGCCAGGACTGCGCCCGGGGCGGATCGTCTGCGCGTTGTCGTCCGCCTCGTGCTTCTCGTCCTCCACGGGAGGCTTGTCGAGCGCTGCAGACAAAGCAGCCCCGGTAGAAGTAAGCGCTGTGTGCGGCTACGCAAACAAGAGAGCGCAACGCGCACCGTGCAGCTTCGTGAGCGAGATGCCCTCCTCGAAGTCGTCGTCCCAGTTGTCCGTCTGCTCCTCGGGTGCCTGCAGGATGAACGGCATGGGCAGCGTCTCGCGGATATGGCCCAGCGCGGCGGGCATGCCCGGCTTGGGTAGCGAGCCCGGCTTCCGCCCTTGTGTCGTGAGGAGCATGGACTGCTGAGGCGCCTGTAGCGACGACGATGCCTGTACCGAGGAGATCATGTGCGTGGGCGACGGAAGGGGAGAGTCCGCCCGGCCTGCGAGCGAGCTCTTGCGATTGCGTTCCGGGTGCTTCGACGGTCTTGACGGCGCTGTATATACATATACCAACCCGATCAGCCGCTGAGGGCGTAAAAGAGACAGAGAGACAAAGCAAGCCCCCCCCCCGCTCGAGACTCACACTTGAGCGCCTCGTTCCACTCCTGTACCTTCAGCACCGCCTCGTCGTAGTTGTAGTTGCTCAGCGGCCTCCTCTCCGCGGGCCCGGCCCCGTTCCCGTTCCCGTTCGTCCGCTGCCCGTCCCCCGACGGCTTGTCCGCGCCGCCGCCGCCGCCCTGCGCGCTGCCGGAGTTGGTGATCTGCCGCCGCGCGGCGACCATCCACGGGTGCCGGAGGAGCTTCTTGGCGGAGATGCGCAGGTTGCAGTCCTTCTGGAAGCAGTGGTAGAGGAAGTCCTTCACGATCGGGGACGCGCCGTCGGGTATCGGCGGGCTGTCGTCCTGCACGATGCGGAAGAGGGCGGGCATGGGGTCGAGGAAGTGGTACGGGGGCTTGCCTTCGAGCAGCTCGATGACCGTGCAGCCGACGCTCCTATATAAGCAGGCGGAGAAGGACGGGCGAGTTCAGCGTGCGTCCGACAGGGAGGATTTCAGTAGAGAAACCGACCATATGTCTGAGGCGGTCGTCGCCCCGGATTGCTCGATTACCTCGGGTGCCACTGTGCGGAGATTAAGCTACGGATGGCGACAGTGAAGGGAAGTGAATGTGCAACGTACTCCAGTATGGACTGCCGACAACGGCGTCGTCGCGGACGGCACCTGCTGCGGTGCTGCTCGCTACGCCGAAGTCGGCGAGCTTGACGCATCCGTCCTTGTTCGTGAGGATGTTCGCACCTTTGATATCTCGGTGGATCACACCCTGGTCGTGCAGGTACACGAGCCCTTCCAGGACTTGCGCGATGTACACGCCGACGAGCGTCTCCGGGAACTTGCCAAACTTCTTGCAGATATTATGGAGCGAACCGTTCTCGCAAAACCTGCGCCTGTGAACACCGGCGGCACAACACGGAAAGGAGCAAAGCACCTACTCTAGGATAATGTACAGATATTCCGGCGTCTTCTCGAAACCCTTGTACTTGACGATATTAGGATGCTAGATGACGTCAAGTTAGTATACGGTAAACGGAGGTTGTTCCTAAGGTGACCAATCCGCCTCCCCATCGCCGCAATGGATCATGGGGAGTATGAGTGGATAGACGTGACGCTCTTGGAGGTGCAGCGAAGAGACGTCCCAAAAGCAGCGTGTTACTGAGGGTACAGTCACGGAGAAAGGGGAGTATGCGAACTGCTTGAAGACATAGGGAGCCTCGGTCGCGTCCGAAGGATGGGGGTGGCGCCGGGATGCCGCAGACCGTTAGAGCGCAGGAAACTCACATTCAGATTTTTGAGCAAGTCGATCTCGGACTGCAGGACGCGTCCGCGGTCAGTAGCAGGACGAACATACGCGGGGGGGCGCACGCACCATAATCTGCCCAATCTCGCTCTTCGGTATGTTGCTGAGCTGAATCTCCTTGATGGCGACGGTCTCGCCCGTGGCCCAGTTCAGGGCACCTGCGAGGACGCGGACACGGTCAGGGTCAGGCTTGTGGCGCCGCTCCAGGAGGCCATGCGACACGTACGGTAGACCTGCCCGAACGCGCCCTTCCCCAACGAATCTCCCAGTTGCTGGATACCGGCGTGAGTCAGCACTACGGACTGATACCGGCGGACGCGACAGACACGCACGTATGCATTGAGGAGCTTGTTCGAGCTTGAGTTGCGGGATGGCGAGGGCATCGAGCTTTGGCGTGAAAGTAGGATCGTGAGCGGGTGAGTGGGGGAGAAACGAGAGGACTAGCAAGTGATCGGACGTGAAGCAAAGGGCAAGATGGAGGTCGTTAGTCCAGCAGCGCCGCCCAGAGGACCGTGAATGACATTGACCGCAGGGGCGTTGGACTCTGCTCTGAGCGGGGCCGCGAGCCTGAGTGCGTCGTCCAAGTGCGACACTTTGGCAACCGTGCGTCCCAGGGGTGCCACGCCCAGTCCTAACAGGAGTCTCCGGGGGCTTGCCTCGCGTCTGCACACGCGCCGCGTATTGACGCGTCTTGCTTCGACCTGCCCCCGCGTATCCCCGTCCCCTCTGTTTCCCTTTGATATCAGTGCGTGGACGCCACCGTGGCGTGCGCTGCGCCTACCCGTGTCATCGTCGCGCCTGAACTAGCCAATCTCCATCGTGCTGGCTGATCCATAACATCCGAGTCGACTCCGGCGCGACGTGTGGCCAGAAAACTGACTGGATGGCCTACAAGGAGGGAGGCGAAGCACAACAGATGCCGAACGAAACTTACGCCAGTCTCTGGCGCGTCCGCCCAAGGACCGCTGCCACAGGGTGCAACGCAAGGTTCGGCGCGGACTATTCCTGCGAGGGAGTGCGAGTCCTGCGGCTCTGTGGCCCCCAAGGGCGGCGGTCGCACTCAGCACGATCCAGGCGAGTGATGTGCGCATATACCCGCCAGTGAGCGAAAGTGCAGACTCTCGTTCATCCTGCCTTTTGGCGTAACGGCTTCGCGCGTTCGAGCCGCGTTACAGAGTCATCCTGCATAAAAATATGGGGGGGGTCTCCATCGATTGGGCGGGGGATGTTTGAGATGTCAAGCTGATCTGGGAGTCGTCTACAGGTACTTGCTATTGCGCGAACTTCAAACTTCGCCAACTACTACCACGGGATAGAGCCTCGGTGGTATCGTCCCGGACCAGCGTACAAAGGCAACAGACATTGCGCGGGCTATGGCGAGCGTGTGTTCCAATTCAAGCCGAGGACTTGAGACAGTTGTGGTAAGGTCACGATGATGTGAATTTCGTTCTAGTAGTACCGCTCAGAATTGGCTGGATCTCGGAGCCGCCCGTATATCGTACCTCCGGATTTCGAGTCACGTTCCCCAAGACGCCGTGCATCCGTTACTGGTGCGTCACGTCTCATAACAGGCAGGCCTCGCGAGTGCACGCTGACCATCGCCAACCGCCGCAACGCGTGTGCTTGCATTGGGAGTATATCTCTTCCAGAAGCCGTCGGTCTCCTCGAGCCTAGCTATATATAAAAATGCTGCAAGGCGCTATATCAAGTAAGTAGCCTAAGGCGGACTACCGCTGGAGTTTCATGATATAATTCATTTATGCCTCCCATCTCGGCGACTCTAGCGCACAACGGGGACGTGGCACAAGTCGCGCGTACTCCACAATTTCAGAGAGGCTTACTCATAAACGTCGTCGCGGATATCGGACTCTCAGAATGCAATTGAGAGCACCCTCAGGTGTATGACGATGATGTTGAAAAATGACAACCCGCTTCGCGAAATGTGCGGGCTGAGACATCGCGCAAGGCTCACAGAGTTGTCCGGCTAGTGAACGCAAATCTTGGGTGCTCTCGCGAAGCTGCTGTTATGGAGCAAGCACCTTCTATTGGACAAGGAGGTGCGCGCGACGACCGCGAGTGCGATTGCGCGCGTCCTGTTGGTCATGAGACATGACGAAGTTGTAACGAATGCACGGTGTCTTGGGGGACGTGACTCAAAATCCGGAGGTACGAGATACGGGCGGCTCCGAGATCCAGCCAATTCTGAGCGGTACTAGTGTTCTTTTTCCGTAGACGTTGCCGGTGAGTAACGGATAAGCAGGGTTGAGTGCCGGCACTCTAACCGTCGGATATCGTTGGTCAGCAAGCAAGTTCGTATTTTTGGCAATTCCAGGCCATTCGGACATGTATACGTGCTATGCGCACGTCGCCAGGACACCTTGCAAGAACCCTCCGCCATGCTTCGGATGTACCTGGGGCGTTGGCGCAGGGAAGGCATCCTCTGTCCATCGTGTGACGTTTTCGGTCATGGCTGTTCGGTCAACCTACACGGACCGGTTCATCGTCGTTGTGTGAAACCTCGATCTTTCGACGTGCCTTCGGGAGGCGACTTGACGTTGAGGCGGGGGCTTGGTGGGCGATCTGGGTATTACGACACGCCAGCAGAGGAGATTGAGCTGACTCTACATGGATCGTCAAATATTCGGCGAGAAACGGACTGGACTACATGTACATTAGATGTAAGAGTGCGCAGATGATAGAACGAACGCTGAGTAGAGCATCATGACTGCTCGGAGAGACACAGCCCTAGTAAGTTCCGCTCTCGAAGGGCGTGGACGCGCATAGACGCGAGAGGTAACGGAGTGACGAGAGTGTGACGAGACGCGACGCCTGGCCTGAAGGGGGCGGTCGAGCGCCTGGAAGGGGCCCCCAGTCGCTGTCGTGAACTGAGAGCCGGTGTCCTGGTTTAGACTCGTGCCGCCATGTTCCTCCTCTCCGTCTCCACCTTCGCCGGTGCCATGGTCATCTTCACCCTCGCCGCCATCTTCATGCCCGACCCCCCGCCGCCTCTCGACGACGACCGCTGTGGCTACGCCTTCTGCGAGGTCTGCACCGCCGAGGCTCCCTACGCATGTTCCGCCTGCAAGACCACGCGCTACTGCTCGTCAGTCTTCCCGTCTCCTCTCCCGTCCCTTCTCACGCGCAGCTCACCAAACTCTTCGTTCTCTCGTCCACAGCAAGAGGTGCCAGAACGCGGGCTGGCGCAATCACCAGCGCGAGTGCAAGATCCACCAGAAGCTCCACGAGATGGACGTCCGCATCGCGATGACCCGCCCCAAGCGGCCGCCCGAGGGCATCTGCACGGGGTGCAACGCCCAGGTCGGCGAGGGCCGCCGCCTCGCGATGTGCAGGGAGTGCGGTTACCAGGCGTGTGGCTCATGCGAGTCCCACCACTCGAGAGGTACGTCCCCCCTCTGCTGCGTACGTCCCCGAGGTCCGGCCGCTCGCTCCCCTGTCCTACACGGTAGAGGCAGCCCCTCCCCCCTCCATCCCATTGATGCTCCGCATGTCACACGACCCGCGCTTCCCGCCGCTGACCTCCTGCTTTCTTTCTTTCTCTCCTCCTGACACCCGTGCCTCCCAACAGGGACGTGCTACTGCCCGAACGCCAACTTCGGCAAGCGCTACTGCCAGATGGAGCCCCGCTGGTACCACTCCAACGGCCGCGGCCGCCCCTACGCCGGCGACCGCCACCCGGACCCCGACGCCCTCGGCGGGCGGCCGTACCCGAGCGACGTGTACGAGCCCGCGCCGCGCGCGTGCGACTCGTGCGGCACGGTCACGCGCGTGTTCAAGAAGGAGTACCGGGACCCTTGGGTGTGGCACTGAGCTCGAAGCCAGCGATGGCACGCTGGGTGTGGACGCTACATGCCACGCAGTGTCCACGCATTGTGCGCGCGGGGCTGTCGGCCAACCCAGGCACGACTGGCTCGCTCTGGCCGTGCGGATACCCACAAGTCGAAGATGGGAGAGACTTTGGCCTCGGACGTCGGTACCCGGGAGCCGGGATGAGGCCGGCATTTGCTTTCGATCGCTATGCATCTGAGTACGCATCTCGCATTCGTTCATGTGTCTGTACTACTAGCCGTCTGCTCCTCTACTTTATGCTGTCTGTTTCTCTGCTCACGCCCATTCACGCCATTCACGAACTCTGTACTGTGTACATACGTATACCGCTTCGCGCCCATCGTGACTCTTGCATTTCTCGCATTCGCACCCACGAACTGTTCTTTATTCATCGACCATGCATGCATCTCCTCTGCCCATCTTCCTGCTCATCTGTTCGCGTCTCGTCTATCGCTCATTCCTATCCGCTCCCTCCCACAAACCCCTACGCATATCGTCTGCAGTACAAACTATCTCAGTGCAATGCCATCGTAACAACAAACCGATCGAGCCAGGTCTGGAACAACTCAGATTCACAACGCACACAAGCGCATGTCCTACGAACCCGTACATGGCGCATACACCCAGCGAACATCAGGCGACAACTCGACAACAAGCTCACCTCGCCACCAAGCCCGACTCGACTCGACTCGACTCGACTCAGAGCTTCTTCGCCTTGCCCACGACCCCCGCCTTCGCGCCCTTCCCCGCGCCCGCCTTGCCTGCGAGCACCTTCTCCTTCTTCCTCTCAACGCCCGACGCCGCAAGCTTCTTCTGCTTCAGCTCCTCCGCGCTCAGCGAGGGCGTCGCCGGCGCCGGCTCGCTCGCTACAACGGCGGAGGCGTCCTTGTGCTTCCGCTTCCTTTTCTTCTCTGGTGCTGCGCCCCCCGCCGCATCGTCGGCAGCTGCAATTGCAGCTGCGGGAGCGTGAGCGGGCGTTGCGGCCTCGACAGCGGGCGCGGGCGCGTCCTCAGCAGCGCCAGCGAGCGCGGCCTTCGACTTTTTCCGCCGCGGCTTCTTCCCGCTGGGAGTCTCCCCGACGCTCTCGCCCTCGCCCTCGCCAGCTCCCGCGGCGTCCGCGGGGGCGGCAGAGAGCTTCGCGATCGCGCTCGTCACGGGGGTGTCTGCGACCGCGCCCGCGCCCTTGGTCCGCTTCTTGCGCTTCGCAGGGGTCTCCCCGGCGAGGCCGTCGGCGGGGGTGTTGGGCGGGTTTGCGGGGACGGCGCGTGCGGCTGGGGTGGCGGCGGCGGTGGCGGCGGGAGGGGCGGCGGCGGGGGAGTCGAAGAGGTCCACGGCGGACGCGCGGCGTTTCTTCTTCTGTGCGGCGGGCGTCGTGGGGGCGGGGGACTCGGTCACAGCAGGAGCGGAGGCAGGGGTAGAAGACGCTTCGGAGAGAGAGGCGCGGGCTTTCTTGCGCTTCTCTTTCTTCGGGGGAGGGGGGCGTCGGCTTCAGCGGCGGGCGCCGGCTGAGCGGGTGCAGCTGCGGGCCCGGAGACGACGGCAGGAGGTTCTGAGGCGGCTTGTGACTTTCTCCGTTTCTTCTTTTCTGGCGCGGTGTCGGTGGGGGCGGCGACTGCAGGCTTTGACGCGGGGGCAGGAGCAACGGCGGGCGCCGGCTCGGCTTCGGCGGTGGACTTGCGACGCTTCTTCTTCGCGGGCTCGGACGTCGGAGGGGCGGGCTCGACAGCTGGAGCGGCGGGGGCAGCTATGGCCTTGCCCTTTGCCTTCGCGGGGGTAGGAGCAGCCTCGTCGGCGGACGCCTTTGGTTTCTTCTTGGGCTTCTCCTTCTCGGCCTCGACCTCCTCCGCGACGCGCTTCTTCCCCTTGACCTTCGGGTCCGCCTCCTTGGCCGCCGCCACCGCCGCAGCCTTAGCCTTAGCCCCGGCATTGGCAGGCGCGTCCACCTTCATGTCCTCGTCCTCATCGCTCTCCTCATCATCATCCATATCCTCGTCCTCGTCTTTCTCGCTCACGACGAGTCCATCCCAGCGCGCCCCGGTCTCGGTGCCGAGGTCGCACTGCCAGATAGGGAGCGCGGCGGAGGAGTTGGTCTTGAGGAAGAAACTCTGGACGTTGTCCCAGCCGCCCTTGATGTGTTTGACGACTTCGGGAAGCGCGGTCTGGAGGTTCGTGAGTACCTGCGCGGGCTTTTGGGAGACGGTACCGATCTTCACGGAGCTATTCGTATGGTATCGTGAGTACGTATGTGGGAGAACGGAGATACGGATGGGACGAATGGAGGGGAGATGGAGGGGACGTACGTGCAGGTGCCCTGGTTTTGGTGGAAGTAGGTGGAGGAGATGGCGCGCTCGAGCTCGCCCTTGAGGTCTTTGCGCGTGACGCATACGGGGATGGGTTGCCTGTCAGAGTACGTACATCAGCCTGAGTCCGCTGTCGAAGCCCTCCGAGACGTAAACGAACTTTTTTGCCTTGAAGAAGATCTTCCCGAGGAGGTTAGGGAGCAGAGGGACGACCCGCTCGTCCGCGAGAAATAAGCCGTTCTCCTTGAGCAGCAGTCTTCGCGCCTCAAACGGCTTCCACTTCCCCTTCAAGTGCCGGATGTCTACGACGCGGGAGATGAATTTGATGCCCTGGCTCGCGATCAGGTCTTTGTACTCCCGCTGCGGATCCTTGACGATGAGGCACACCGGGCTCGTGCGCGGGTCAACTATCGGGTACTTGACAGGTCTGTGTTTCTTCCGTTAATGCTACGAGATCTTGAAGCGCAAAAGGGATGTCGTACATCCTTGCAGGCTTCAGCTTCTTCTCCGGGTGCATAACCTTGGTGTTCACAACCAGCCAGACGTTCTGCTCCTTGCCTGGCAGGAGCTCGCTTTCGGCCTTCGCCTCCTCGAACTTAGTCGCATGGGTCAGTAGTGCGTCCACCGCGCGCTTGCACTGTTGTAGGGAGACGTGGTCGTCGATGAGCGTGCTTTCAGGCATTTGGAGGGGCGGAAAGGGGGAAGCGTAAGGGAAGAGACACAATGGGCTGTTGCTTGCCTGCTGCTACTTAGCCGCGGTCCAAAATTCTTGCTGAGCACGTGATGACAGGAACAGACAGGCGCTTATGCTGCTCCGGGTAGGTCGGAAAGTCGTCCGGCCCTACAAGCCTGGCACTCACGATAATGAGCTGCAACTTACAGCCAGATCCTACCAAGTTGACAGCTGATGTAAAAACCAGCGTCGCAGTCCCCGCGCCCAGGGATATGCTCGGATCACCGGATAACCCCGGCCGAGCGCCAGCTATACCATACCGCGGACATTGCCCGACTGTGGTGCACTGCTAGTCTCGTGACCAGACGTTCGGAGTGTGAAGCGGATGCGAAAAATCGGGGGCATCCGGACACTCGAACGTCTGGTGGCTTTACCCCCGTGACTCCCCGCTCGGTGACCTGTGTGACATATCGACACCCATTTGGGGCAGTCCGAGAAAGCCGGAGGTCGCCCTCAGTGTGCGATGTGGCGGCCCGCTGTAGACGACCATGCAGTCGCTCGAGCTACTGACCATGAACCCCTTGTGTGGCGCGCACTCGTCCACACGTATTGTAGAGCACCCTGCGAGAGATGCATGATATCATTGCTGACGATGCCTCTTCCCATGATGTCCGCTCCTCTCGAAGTCACAAATTACCCGCTACAACCTGTGATGGAATTGACAGGAGTTCGACCACCGCTGGTGATATTACTCTGGTGCTGGACAGAGTGTGGATCTGAGCGATGATACTCCCATAGAAGAGAAGGAAACCTCGAAGGGGTACAAGCCCAAGGTGACTGGCATCGGTGGACACAGCGATAGGTGCATCGCACTCCTGAATTCAGATGCATTATGTTATCGGGTTGCGCACACAAAGAGAAGTCACAG